ACAGGCTCCCATGATTTATAGTCTGCTTAGAAATGACAAGGATAGGATAAAGAAGGAAGAACAGTCTGGGGTGTACAGAATACCATACAAAAATGATCAACTAGGAATAAATAAAGAATATATTGGTGTCACCATCAGGAGGTTGAGTAAAAGACTTAAGGAGCATGTGTATGATATAAGTAGGGAGCACTGCAATACAGCACTATCCAAAGGGGCACAAATGGAAGGTTCAGTGATTGACTGGAATGAAGCTAAGGTTATTAGACAGGTGTGCTCACCATCTTTAGCAATGACTTTGGAAAAATTTGAAATATAGGGATCCGGCAGTATGGGCAAATGTTTAAACTATAAAGATNATACTTCCACGCAGTTGGTAAATATGTGACATCTTTATAGTTTAAACATTTGCCCATACTGCCGGATCCCTATATTTCAAATTTTTCCAAAGTCATTGCTAAAGATGGTGAGCACACCTGTCTAATAACCTTAGCTTCATTCCAGTCAATCACTGAACCTTCCATTTGTGCCCCTTTGGATAGTGCTGTATTGCAGTGCTCCCTACTTATATCATACACATGCTCCTTAAGTCTTTTACTCAACCTCCTGATGGTGACACCAATATATTCTTTATTTATTCCTAGTTGATCATTTTTGTATGGTATTCTGTACACCCCAGACTGTTCTTCCTTCTTTATCCTATCCTTGTCATTTCTAAGCAGACTATAAATCATGGGAGCCTGTTTATATATTAATCTTGTACTCTTGTAGTTGGCTACTTCCTTCATGATACTGTACATTCCTCTGCTATATGTGAATTTAGTAATGTCTTTGTTTGTATTCTCTTTTGCCTTCTTTTTATTAGGAACTCAGTACGATCTTATTAACTTTTCAACAATTTCTGTTTTAAATCCTAAGGATCCAGCAATGGTTCTGATCCTATTTAACTCCTGCCACCTATCGTATATGTTGGAGCAGTAATTAAACGCCCCTCTAATAAGAGCCTTAAATGCCGACAGTTTGTAAAGCAGGTGGATCATTGGACAAGGAAGAAATGTATAATGGGTCGTGCATAGGTTTATTGTATACCTTTGTGGTTAAGGAAAAGTTTTCAAATGCAATGTTAATGTCTAAAAAATGCACTTCTATTTTACTAAGTTGCTCTAATTTCTAATTCCGCCCACTTATAAACTGTCAGCATTTAGGGCTCTTATTAGAGGGGCGTTTAATTACTGCTCCAACATATACGACAGGTGGCAGGAGTTAAATAGGATCAAAACCATTGCTGGATCCTTAGGATTTAAAACAGAAATTGTTGAAAAGTTAATAAGATCGTACTGAGTTCCTAATAAAAAGAAGGCAAAAGAGAATACAAACAAAGACATTACTAAATTCACATATAGCAGAGGAATGTACAGTATCATGAAGGAAGTAGCCAACTACAAGAGTACAAGATTAATATATAAACAGGCTCCCATGATTTATAGTCTGCTTAGAAATGACAAGGATAGGATAAAGAAGGAAGAACAGTCTGGGGTGTACAGAATACCATACAAAAATGATCAACTAGGAATAAATAAAGAATATATTGGTGTCACCATCAGGAGGTTGAGTAAAAGACTTAAGGAGCATGTGTATGATATAAGTAGGGAGCACTGCAATACAGCACTATCCAAAGGGGCACAAATGGAAGGTTCAGTGATTGACTGGAATGAAGCTAAGGTTATTAGACAGGTGTGCTCACCATCTTTAGCAATGACTTTGGAAAAATTTGAAATATAGGGATCCGGCAGTATGGGCAAATGTTTAAACTATAAAGATGTCACATATTTACCAACTGCGTGGAAGTATATGATTGATCATAACGCAGTATAATATGTTATACAACACGCACTCGGTCCATAGAATTAGGTTTATTATATGGATATATTTTATTATGTTAATTTTACATTATTTTATTTTGTTTTATTGTATTTTATGTTATTTTACTTGACTTGGATCTATGTATTTAGTTATTTTCTATTTATCTTGTATTTATTTATATTTTAATGAATTGTTCGAATGTATACAGAAATTGAATTTTAGTTGCACATAAGCGTTCGAACTGGAACAGATACAAGGAAACATTTCATAAATTTCAAATATACCTGATGATGATCTGTGGTGCAGGTAGAAATCATTTGTAGGATAATAAATCGAATTTCTTGGATACATAAGGTGGTTGTGTCAATATAGTCAAAGAACTAACATTTTCATCATATTTGGTGACAACAGTCAGGTTGCAAGTTTTTAAATCAGAATTGTTTAAAGTGTTCTTTTAATTTAAATTCTTTGGTTAACCTGATGGTTGTCATCAAATGTGAATGAAAACAGTTCTGTCAATAAACCCAATACTATTAAACAATATGATTATTCTTGAGTATTTATAATAGTCAGTTAGAATTTATTAAAATAGATATGCCAAAATTTGTGATGGCATTGTCTTATCATTTTGTTATCCTAATTAAATTATTAGTAACATTAATTTGTTTTGATTTCTTCAATAATTACAACTCAAATCAAGTTTACCTATAATATTAATAAATGAAATTAAGACTTGTCAGTTAATAATAATGTATTTTTATAATCAAATTTATTTGTTTGCTTATTTTAGGTAATTCATTATTTTCTTTATATTTAAAAAATATGTAGGCTTTCAGTATTTTTTTTAACTGTTTGCTATTTAATTTATATTATTTTTTAAAATATAATCAGAGACAAATTTAGTATTTGGTAAAAATTTGTTGTTTAAATTTACTTATGAATACTTATTTTAAGACAAATTAAAATCGGTATACCATTATTCCTCTAACCATCATTATTATCCTATATTATAAAATTTAATGAATCATATTTAAACAAAATAAATTTAAATAATAATTATTATTATTCTATTTTATNTGTATAAGTAGAGAGCACTGCAATACAGCACTATCCAAAGGGGCACAAATGGAAGGTTCAGTGATTGACTGGAATGAAGCTAAGGTTATTAGACAGGTGTGCTCACCATCTTTAGCAATGACTTTGGAAAAATTTGAAATATAGGGATCCGGCAGTATGGGCAAATGTTTAAACTATAAAGATGTCACATATTTACCAACTGCGTGGAAGTATATGATTGATCATAACGCAGTATAATATGTTATACAACACGCACTCGGTCCATAGAATTAGGTTTATTATATGGATATATTTTATTATGTTAATTTTACATTATTTTATTTTGTTTTATTGTATTTTATGTTATTTTACTTGACTTGGATCTATGTATTTAGTTATTTTCTATTTATCTTGTATTTATTTATATTTTAATGAATTGTTCGAATGTATACAGAAATTGAATTTTAGTTGCACATAAGCGTTCGAACTGGAACAGATACAAGGAAACATTTCATAAATTTCAAATATACCTGATGATGATCTGTGGTGCAGGTAGAAATCATTTGTAGGATAATAAATCGAATTTCTTGGATACATAAGGTGGTTGTGTCAATATAGTCAAAGAACTAACATTTTCATCATATTTGGTGACAACAGTCAGGTTGCAAGTTTTTAAATCAGAATTGTTTAAAGTGTTCTTTTAATTTAAATTCTTTGGTTAACCTGATGGTTGTCATCAAATGTGAATGAAAACAGTTCTGTCAATAAACCCAATACTATTAAACAATATGATTATTCTTGAGTATTTATAATAGTCAGTTAGAATTTATTAAAATAGATATGCCAAAATTTGTGATGGCATTGTCTTATCATTTTGTTATCCTAATTAAATTATTAGTAACATTAATTTGTTTTGATTTCTTCAATAATTACAACTCAAATCAAGTTTACCTATAATATTAATAAATGAGATTAAGACTTGTCAGTTAATAATAATGTATTTTTATAATCAAATTTATTTGTTTGCTTATTTTAGGTAATTCATTATTTTCTTTATATTTAAAAAATATGTAGGCTTTCAGTATTTTTTTTAACTGTTTGCTATTTAATTTATATTATTTTTTAAAATATAATCAGAGACAAATTTAGTATTTGGTAAAAATTTGTTGTTTAAATTTACTTATGAATACTTATTTTAAGACAAATTAAAATCGGTATACCATTATTCCTCTAACCATCATTATTATCCTATATTATAAAATTTAATGAATCATATTTAAACAAAATAAATTTAAATAATAATTATTATTATTCTATTTTATTATTATTATTATTATATTTGCAGAACTTTTTTTATTGAACTTTAAATGTTAAGTAAACTTTGAATGTTAAAATTTAAGAATAACTCAGAGCTATATTCTTGCTATAATGAAGAATATAAAGGGTGCCCCAAAAATCAGTTAACCATGTTTTTGTTTTGTGTGTTCCAGGTACACTTGTGAATATGAATCATAAACTGAATTTAGAACAACGTGTTTTTCTTATACAAAATTGGTGGAAATGTGATAAAAAATATACAACAATTAGGAACATGTTTATTGAAAAATATCCAGCTATTGAACCTCCAACTCGTCAAGCAATTTACAAACTAAATAAAAGATTTGAAGAAACAGGAGCAGTAGTAGATTTGCCAAGATTGGGTCGACCAAAAACTACAGTAACTAATGATAAAGTACAAAAAAGTAGAGGGACTGGTTGTCGGCCCAAATAAATCAACAAAGAAGAAGTCAGCTGAATTTGGAATCAAACAATTCAAGGATACTAAAAAAGTTAAAGTTGAATTCCTATGAAACATTGTAATTTGTGTTTTGAACAAGAAGGATCTCATTTTGAACCATTTTTGTAAAGTTTGTAAGTAGTAAAGTATTTGAATAAGAGCAACTTAATTGTTATAAGGGTTCACTGACTTTTGGGACATCCTGTAGTTTTGAGTTATGCCTTTTGTGACATTTATCATATTTTATATATTTTAGATTATACAATTATCTCAATAACTAATTTTAAAATATACTGAATTTTTTTAGCTGATAAAATTATCAGAATTACACAAAAAAGAGAAAGGAGATGGTCAAAAGAGAGGCGACAAAGATGGTTGGATAAAGTTAATCAAGAAACTTTGGAAAAATTAAAAGAATTAAAAGCAGAACAAATGAGACTAAAGCAATTGGATGAAACATCCAAAGATATTGAACTTGAAAGGAAAATTCTTCTAGATAGTGTACGTTATCAGCAAAGTTTAAATGAAGATCCCGTCCAACGTAAAAGAAGATTAGCTAAGGAGAGAAGGAGAAGATGGTTAGCTAAACAGAGCCAAGAATCTTTACAAAATTTGAAAAGGGTACAGGCAGAACGAAAACGTTTAAAACGACTTAATGAAACACCTGAAGAAAAGGCCATCAGAAGGAAGAAAGATGCTGAACGTCATAGAGAAATCAGACAAAACAACTTGCTCAATCGTCAAAATTTACATGAAGAACCAATTAAAAAGAGAAGAAAATCATCTAGAAGAAGAAGATAACTATAAATTAAACTGAAAACTCAAAATTTTATAAAGTAAACAATATACACAATATGACAAATATCTCAAGAAAGTGCACTTAGATGAAAGAAAGATGCAGAATGTTTAGTAAGTTTTGCCTTCTATCAGGTTGTAAAGGTAAAATTTAAACATTTTGAAAAAATCTTTAGTGACAATTAACTGACCAACCATTATAGTTCAGCCTTATAGATAAATCACTATCAATATCAATCTATCTCATTGCCTTTGCTGCAAACGTTCAATCCCATGAGCATAGAATGACTGAGATTTTTCTTTAAAGAAAGTCTCAAGCATTGTTCTCACTATGGTATTTGATCATGTTGAACTGTATTATATTGGCAATATGGTCAGCAGAGCAAAATAGTTGGTAGTCAGTTGGCACCAAGTCTGGGCTGAAAGTGTGGACAAGGCAGAACCTCCTAGCCAGAGCTGGCCCTACCATAGGGTGAACGGAGCAGCTGCTAAGTCCTAGGGGGCACCTCAGTGGTAAAGAAAATTAAAAGAAAAAATATTTTTTCACTTTTCGATATTTTCGGAGGGTGTCATAATAGGATCTTGCTCCATCCTAAAATTTGCCTTGGGCCAGCACTGCTAAAATTTGCCCAGACTGGCCAACTTCTGTAAGGTCATTTTTGCTCTGTGTTGGCATGTTGTCATGGTATCAGACTTTGTCAATTTTTGGAGTGTATGGGACACTCAAATTGTTGTACTAATTCTCTGGTGGTCAACCATGGGTAATTGCTTATCAGTTGCAAGAGAACTCCATCATCATTCATTGATGATGAAATTGTTGCCTGGATGGGGTTCACCTTTGAAGCAAGAAATCTCCATCCTTGAATTTCTTGAACCAATTGTAGCTGGTCTGCCTGTGTCTTTGACTGTCTTTTGCAAAATATCTTTGCAACTGTGTCTTTGCAAAATATTTTACAGATGAGATCATGAGCCTTCATTCTGTTGTTGTCACTTTTGAAGTGATAGAGCAACAGCACATGAATGTGTTCTTTGAGAATTCCATATTGTCAGACATTGCTGATGCATCTATTTCCAATGAAATATGTGAAGAAATGTCCCCTGGTTATTCTACTTATATATCCATATCAAACATTCTAAAATACTTTTCCAGTTGTTTCTAGAAAAAAAAATTGAAATGTCTTAATTTTACCTTTACAGTCTGATACAACTTAATTGACAGAGTTTCTCTTTGTATTTGGATAAAAACAAATTTTAATAATATAAAATGTATTTAAGATTTATTAAATTATGAATAGAAAAAATTTTTCAAAATTGTATTATTATAACAAGATAATAATAATAATACAATAAATATGAGTACAACTTTTAACAAAGAAAAATTCTATGCTTCAGTCATTTCTTTCGTTGTTCGCACCATCAGCAGTTCATAAAAATCACAAAAACTCATAGACGGCTAAAAACTCCTTTGTAGGCTACTGCCTCCGTAAAGAAATGACTGAAGCAACGAATTTTTCTTTGTTAAAAGTTGTACTTATATTTATTGTATTATTATTAAAAGTAAATAATCATTGGCCATGTTAAACTTATTAAATTTACATAACAAGATAAATTTTTCAATACTACATAAAATCATGTTGAATATTAGATTCATTTTCATTTAGTTCAAATGTATAGTTAAGAAAAAAAGAATCCAAATTTATATTATTTAATATAGCAGTTGCCAACCAATGGTCCATAAGAAAATTTTGGTTGTCCATGGAGAAAGTTGGAAATTGATCAACTCAAGATTGCAGGAAGTATTATGAAAGAAATGCAAAATGCTTGGTTGCTTTTTCTCACTCATTGGAGGTTTCTTATTTGAATCTAAATCATGTCTAATAATCTAACAGTAATGTCAATAAATCAATAAATAATGTTGAGTGCAATTGTCGTCCTCCATGGAAAAAAGCCAAGAATCCATAAACTTATTTCAAACAAGCAGCAACAAACTTCACACTAAACTTGTTATAATTATTAATATGAAATTCAATTGTTTATAGTAAAATGGAACTTTTATGATCATTATTCTATAGATGTTTGTGTCGTTTAAAAAAATTTATGATAGTGGTCCACAGGATTCAAAACTGTTAGTTTAGTGGTTCATGAGGTCAGAAAGGTTGGTGACCATTGATTTAATACACCCATTGACAAAAAAGTTATGCACTCAGATAGCTGCAAACCAAGTTTTGCAATAATCAGACAATTCTATATCTCAGGAGTTATACAGAGGATTACAGTTGTCCAGTTACTGATGCCATCAGATGCTTTAATATTGCAACCTCAGTAACCTATGAAAAAGCTTACAGATGTTCAAATGTGTTCAGTATACTTGCTGTGTGGATTATTTGAATGCCAGGCATGCCTGTATAATACATTCAAAGACATTATTCACAGCTGACAGAAATTGAGAAAGGCTACATCATTAGGCTGGGAAGCAGGATAGCTGTTTTTCTTCATTGCCCACTATCTGACCATTTTGACAATTGTGAGAATGTATTGGAGCAGTAGATATGGAAGGGCACATACAACAATGGGCAGACTCTGGACACCTCAGACAGACCACAAGGAGAAGTAAATTATCTGATTGTGAGACAGTCATGAGCAACTGCAACAGAACTGGAAATAATGACTGAAAAAGTACTCACTATCTTGATGAACAAGCTTTAAAAACTGCCCAGTCTAATTTTGGATTTTCCTATACCACAATTGTTCAGTCATCAATGACAAGAGCTAATCAGCACCAATCACTTACAATTGACAACTAAACACTGTACAATAGAAGTGAAAGCTACTTCAATGTGTCTGTGTTTCGGTTTATATGGAGTATCGGCCTTTCTGACTCTATTTCTTCGATAGAGTGATGACATTAGTATCCAATGAGCTAGCTGAAGCTTACTGCTTGACCATACACAGAATAATGTCTTCTAGGAAGTCTTTTAAGGTTAACCGGCCCCTATTCAGGCATTACAGAGATGGAGAAAACCCAGAAAAGTCTACATGGCCAGCTTGTCCTGGCAAGGCACAAACCCACGGGCTGTTCTCTGAACTCCCTGTGTTCAGAGAACAGAACTGCTTGGCCAACCTAAATGTCAGTTTGACAATGGGCCCCCAGTGGCCAAGTGGTCTTTGTTGTCTCCATGTCTGTAACACCTAAATAGGGGCCAGTTTCCATTAAAAAGACCTCCTGGAAGGCAATCCCCCTAGGCAGATCGCCCAAATGTTGCATTGCCATAACTAAACAAACAAACAAACAGTTTGACAATGTTTTTTTATCCATTGCTAATTTGTATATTGCACATGCTTAAAAGAAATGAGGTCTTAGCTTGTCTGTAACAATATCTGTTTAAGAATAAAAGACAACATAATCTTTTATACTTATAAATATGACTACAATATTAGATTAGTGGAATACAATTCCATTAATTTTTAAAATCTTACTGTAAAATTATGCAAATGGAGTGCTAGTTGGAAAGTGTTAAGATAATTCTTACCCTAACCCAAAAACTCAAAATAACTGGAAAAATGGGAAATAAATAAATAATTAAATATAAATTATCTTTTATTACCTACACTTCCTTAGGTGAACGGAGCAGCTGCTAAGTCCTAGGGGGCACCTCAGTGGTAAAGAAAATTAAAAGAAAAAATATTTTTTCACTTTTCGATATTTTCGGAGGGTGTCATAATAGGATCTTGCTCCATCCTAAAATTTGCCTTGGGCCAGCACTGCTAAAATTTGCCCAGACTGGCCNGATTTCCAAATTGCTTCAAATACGAAAGAATCGACGATTTTTCATGTCTTTTGCCAGCTAAATTGTCAAAGCCATTCTTATTCCACACACTAATTTCATTTGAAAATAGTAGGCAAGCCAATAAAACAATTTTTGCATTTTTATGCATTTACAGAGCCATTTTATCGTGAAAATGTCGAACAAATTTTTTATTGAAGTGTTTATATTTAACTTAGGCATTGGCCTTTCTCTTTTAATAATGTTTTCTTTTTCATTATATGATCGCGAGCCAAAACTTTTTTAAAATAAATTTTCAATATCGCAATAACATTCTGAATCGCTGACTACGATATAAGGGTTAAGTTATAAATCTACTCGTGATTCACGTAATCGGGCGAGGGCGGCCAAATATCTAGCGGGCAGGCGGCTAACAGCCCAGAACCGGTCCTGGATAGAATTGGATGTGGTATACGTTTAGCATCCACCCAAGGTCGTTGGCTTCCACCAGCTAAACCGGGTGAGGTTGGTACTCTGTAAAGCGCATGCGTGAATCTGGCTTTTTGGATGCTGACAATACAGTGCTTCCACTCCACCACTAATATTCCAATATACAATAGCGATCTTACCTTTTTTTCACTTGTAGTATAGAAATTTGTAATAAGATACATAATGCGATTATTATAAAATATTGTGCGATTATTTTCATATAATTAAAATTAATATGTATTTATTTTTTAGAAAATACAAGGGAAGCGGCGCATCCACCGCTTCCAATGACGGCACGCCACTGATGCCTCTTATGACCCACCTTGAAAATTCTCCAAAAATTTCCCATTTATTTAGATAGGAAACAATGTCCATATTGAGTACACCTCCAATCTGAGCCCAGGTGAAAAAAGACCCACAAACCAAAAATACCTCTTTAATTAGGGTGCATGCAGATTATAAAAAACAGGCAATCTTATAGTCATCTGAAACTTTGGTTAAAGTAAACTGAAAGTATTGTACCGTACAGTACGTGTAGGTGTGCAATATTCAGCATCTGAATGTCAGAAGTAATTGTATTGTTTACGTACTGTATACAATACAATTACTTCTGACAATACTGTAGTCACAGGCCAAATCAATTAACTATAGCCACCTAAGCTTATATACCTACCAGGCCCGAACCTGACATATCATGGCGTCATAAGAAGAGTGCATATTATAAAAATAACTATTTTATTTAACTATTGTAAAAACTCAATATTTTGAGAATAAAAGTTCATGTTTCATCAAAATTATCATGAAACGGCTTAAA